GTCGATAGTGCAGAGGGTTTATCCACAATTAACCCTTGAAAATAATGAAGAAAACGATAATTTTCGCCTAAGGGACATTTTCATCACCTTAGACTATGTAGTAATCTTTTTTAGTGTAGAAGGGTAAAACACAACATTGAGGTGTTTTTTAGAAAATACCTAGGGGCTTTATCAAATTTATAAAAAGGTATTTTGCCTTTAAACCCAAAGATTTATTGCTATTTACAATACGACCCACTTACTTCCACTATAGCTAAACCCAAAAGACTTTTGCTCTTTTGCCTTTAAACCAATAACATCAATTATATCCTATTTCTTTACCATATTTACAGATCCAAAATTAAAATTTTGAAATGCTCTTGTCCTAACCTACAATCCATTCTTCTTTTTCTCCTCACCCTCTCCACTCTGTCCACCTCTTCGTAATTTGGGTTTTCCTTAACCATGTCATCATTCCTCCTTCCCCCTTTATCTACATTGCCTCATCCTTATTCCTCTTCCGACACCTACCTCTTCAGTTTCTTCATCCTCAGTTCAAAATTTTATTTCCATACTTATAAGTTTTGTGTCTATACTTATGATTCTATTGCTATATTTACTAATCTTGGCCTTATATTTACAGATTTTATTATCCTACTAATATGTTATATTGCTATAATTTTATAGATCTTATTATTATACTTAATTAATATACTTATAGATTTTGTTTCTATGCTTATAGAATTTTTCACCATACATACATGTGTTATTGCTATACTTACGCATTGTTGTTATATTTATTGTTGAAATTATGCCTTAAAACTCTCTGATTGTTCAATTTAGCCAATGAAAATCATCGATGGTCAAGAGGACATCATCGATGTTCACTTCCATCATCGATGTTCACTTCCATCATCGATGGTTTACAGTGAACAATCAGAGAAAAGCAAAAACATGATTTTGAACTATCGATTGACTACAATGAATCATCAATGGATTGTAGGAGATCATCGATGGTCGTGTTTGATCATTGATGGCTATGATGCTAATTATAGTTTTGATGACTTAGTCTTAGTCGTTTATTTTTTCTTTTAATCTCTAATTTCTACCAAGTTTTGGATACCTCTTTCCTGATCTACTATGGTCTCCTATATATTAAAATAGAAAGAGTTTAGATTAGGGTTGGGTCATGAGAATATGATACTTTGATAAGGAGAGTTTGAGGGTTTAGGCTATTACCTTATTCTTGTACTTTTTTTCTTTTGATAGTAGAATTTCTCTGATGCATCTGCTGTGGACATAGCCCAAATTGAATGAACTATGTAAATCTATGTATTTGCAATTGCTTGTTCATTATTCCTGTGTTAATTCTTCGCAATTATTTCTACTTTATTGTACACTTGTTCTAACAAACGGGTATCAGAGCTTCAGTTGTGATTTGTTTTGTGTGTAAAGAACATATCTGTGAAATATAAGATTAAGAAGTTCAACCGTGATGTCAATTTTAGTCTTTGGTGAGTGAAGATGCGGGCTATTCTTGTTCAACAAGGATTACCAAACGCTTTGTTAGGAAAAGGTAAGATGCCGACATTAATGACAGATGATAAAAAGTTTGAGATGGACGAAAAGGCATTAAGTTCAATCCAATTATGTCTGTCGAATGAGGTTCTTCAGGAAGTCATGTATGACAAGACCCTAGCGGGTCTATGGCTCAAATTAAAATATCTTTACATGACAAAAACCCTCACTAACCGACTTTATTTGAAACAAAGGTTATTTATGCTTTGCATGACGGAAGGTACATCTATTAAATCACATCTTGATTAATTCAATTCTATTATTATGGATCTAGAGCATGCATATGTAAAGGTAAAAGATGAAGATCAGCATTTGCTATTGTTATGCTCGCTACCACCCCCTTACAAGCATTTTAGGAAAGCTATGATATATGACACAAGGTCTATCTTGATGGAAGATGTGAAATTATTTTTATTCTCGAAAGAGTTGATGGATAAAGAGTTGACCGGATCTAGTAAGTGTAAAGTCGAAGCTTAAATGTTCGAGGTAGAAACATGAATAGTGGTTCTAACAATAAAAATAAATCGAGATCGAAGTGACTAAGAGCAAATTCTATAACTATTTCAAGAAGAAATGCCATATTGTGAATGAGTGTTGGAAGTTTTATAATAAAAAAAGACAAAAAATCAAGTCAAAGAAGACTTCATAGAGGCTAGTGTTGTCAAGGATGATTCTAATAGTTTTGTTCTCTTTGCTACAAATTCAGGGAGATCCAAGGATGATTGGGTCTTGGACTCTGGTTGTACTTATTACATGTGCTCCAATAAATATTGATTTTTCACGTACAAATCAGTTGAAGATGGAGTTGTCCTTATGGGAAATAATTCTCATTGTAAAGTGATTGACATTGATACAATTGAAATTAGAATGCATGATGGTATTGTGAGGATATTGTTAGATGTTCGTCATGTTTCTAATTTAACTAAGGATCTCATCTCTCTTAACACCATTGAAACTAACGGGTGCAAGTATTCGGCTGTAAGTGGGTATTCACGAAAGAAAGGTATTACAAGTGCTTTAAATGTAAAATATGAGGCTCAACTAGTTGCAACAAGCTACATTGAGAAAGTCCTAGCTCGCTTCAATATGCATAATTCGAAACTAGTTATCATTCCTCTTGTAACAGACTTCAAATTATCAGCATTATTATCACCTAGCATGGATGCGAGTCGTGACTACATGTCTCAGGTTCCTTATGCGAATGTAATTAGCAGCATCATGTATGTGATGGTTTGTACTCGACCGGATCTTTCACAAGCAGTAGGTGTTGTTAGTAAGTATATGGCAAATCCCGAAAAAGAGCACTAGAAAGCTGCAAAATTGATTCCTAAATACCGAAGGAACTTCAGGTGTTGGCTTGGTATTTGGTGGAGATAGTGACACTGATTGCATTACTACCGGTATGTTGATTCAGATTTTGTGGGTGATTTGGATAAGCACAAATCAACTATAAGGTTATATTTTTACTCTTTCAGGAGATTCTATTTGCTGTAGGTCGATGTTACAACCTATTATTGCATTATCTACTACAGAGACGGAGTTCAT